AACTTCTGCTTTTGGCTTGTCTGCTTTTATTGTCTCAGTGTTGTTAATCGACTTTTCAACTCGTTGTTGTTCTAATTTCTTTGCAGCATCATGAACCTTAAATAAAGTCACGCATATCATATGAAAAAAGCTGCAAAAACAATGCCCTAATCACACATGCTAATCAGTTTTGTTTGATTTTCATACATTTTTTTTCTTATCACAAATTTAATCTAAAACAGTACAAAATTTATAATAAAATTTAGTCTAAATTAGTAATTAGTAATGTTGTTTAATGCAATGGGATACACTAAGAGATACTGATACTTTATAAATCCTTTTTCTTTCATCATTATTAAAAAGAAAAAATTTCCATAACTAACTAAATTTATATTCCTTAAAAAGAATTTTTTTCAATCCTTTCTTCACGTTAAGTTTTTTTTAAAGCTTTATAAATTTTAATTTCTTTCAAAACCAGGAAAAAAATGCAGGTGTTAATAAAATTTAACTATTGCTACCTGACGAAGATAATACGGTCCACCATAATTAACCAACCAATTATAGGCATATTTCGGTATATTACTTTCAGGATTATCATGATATGAAAGAACATAATCGAATCCTTTACAATCAAAAGTTTTATGAGCTCGAACTACCATTATCGACCGATAAGTCTCCACACGTACATATTTCTTTTCACACCGTGGAATAATATTAGCACTATCTGCTACCGCACAATTTGCTATCACAATACAATGATCCTTTTCATCAATGTATCTGAATACTTCAATATGTTATTAAACCTTTAACAAAAATATATTTGTTAGAATAACCACGACAAAATGTTATTTTAATTACTATCATTTTGGTCACATGATCGTAAATTTTGAGCTAATGCAAATCATTATTCAATAATATCAAACATAATTGATTTGACCTAAATGTTATAGTAAATGGAAACCATATAAAAAAAGCAAAAACGTGGAAGCAGAATACATTCCAAAAACCATTCGACAATGTATTCATTGCTACTTAATATTTCTGTTAAAGTATTTTGCAATGTTACATGTATACATGAATGTGTTATGCGTCCATGAATGCATACTTCTAACTTTTTTTTTAATATGATTTAGCAATTCTCATATGGTTTTGCAATCGTAGCATTGAAATATCCTTTATAAAAATTAGCGAATCACTAATTATTTATAAATACTTCGTAGTTTGTAAGCATGTAGGATTTTAATGAATTTTAATGAAGTTTCAATCATTCTGTAATAGAAAAAAAAAAAAAAAAAACTGAAATGTAAAATTGATATGACATTCTTTGCTCTCTCAGAAATCGCTATTTCACAAATTTTAAATCCAATTCACACTCATACCTTCGTCTTACAAATACGTATTCACGTGGATACATTGGATAAGGAAACTTAGCAACCCAATGGATCAATTCCGAATCGGTATCATCATCTTTTCGAACTAACTCCAATTTTTCAACATTTGGATCCCATTTCTTCCGGAAAGCTAAATCCATTTGAGCATCCACAAAATCACTGGCCGTAATATCACTGAAAACACTTAGTCTTATCTGAAGTAATCTGTTTGAAATATGTATCCCAATAGTGATATTTATTGACAAAAGAAAAAAGAAATGTATCCGATATTTAAATTAAAACGCTGACGTATACGTCAAAATAATGTTCAAGAATTATAGTTATTCAAAATGATTTAATAGTTATGAAAACCTACTCGTATGAACCTGAGCAGCGAAATTCATATAAACCGGTACCAGCATGCAACCTTCGTAATACTTTCGAATTTCCTTCATTACGCACAACCTTAAAAAAAATATTTGTTTCTGCTAAACTTTTTTCCAGTTCACTTTATTACCCAATAAGATGAATAATATAAAGTGAAACTTTCGAGATATCAAAGCAAAGACAGCGTGTGCAAAGTGATCAGACTTTTAAATAGAATAAAAACAATGAGGAAAATCTTTAAAATGAAAATATTCAAAGGTAAATATAAGATCAAGAAAAAAAAAAGGAATATGAAAAGTCAAATCTGTATTTTTAAGAATGACATGAAAATAAAATACACTGAGTAACCAACTTCCCAATCTTCACAATCATTATTTGTACTCGTTTTTGCTTCTGCCATTATCATTTCATCTGAGATTCCATTTTGTTGAAATGAAAAACCAGCTGCTGTAATAGCTATCAGAAATTGTGGCCGCCAATGAAACCTACAAAGCAATAAATGTAATACGTCCTTTACTATGGCTAAAATATGTTACATATTAAGACACGAAAGAAAGAAAAAAATATATAAAATTTTCTATAAATTATAAATATTATAAAAAAATGTCTTTAAATATTATTTCTTTGGAAAAAGTATCAATTCTAGAATTTAGTAACAGTAACATATTCAAAAAGCGAACCGTCCCATTTGGGATATGAAATAAAAACTGCTTCGCTTCTTTTCATTCCTTAAATGTATGATATTTCATATCAACAAATCAGCTTCCTTTTTTTTTTCTTTTTTTTTTAACTGGCAACACCCACATCAGATAGTCAAAAAATTGTATAGAATAATGCAAAAAAAGAAAAAAAAAACTACCATTGCCGCCACTGTTTTTCATAATTTCTCCATCCAATCCAAATATGCCATTTGCACAGCTGTGTTTTTCTAATCCTTTCAAAAAATAAATATAATAACCGGTTTCGGATTGCTTGTGATGATGAACCAAACTGTAGCATTAGCTGTTGTACTTCCAAATTTTTATCAACTATTTTCCAATACTTCAAATATATCAATTCGAAAAAACTGAAAATTTAATGAGGAAAAAATTATTTCAGTATTTAATTTTTGTTAAATAAAATAATATAACAGTTGCTAAGATTCATTTTCCACCAATTGCAGGCATTAGTTCATTCATTTATTAATCTACGAATTCAACCAGAAAAAATATACGAAGGAGATAAAACTACTTTTATATGGATTAATACGAATTGTGTTCGTTTTTTCATCCTTCAATAAATCACTATTTTTTATCTCCACTTTATTCTTTATCATTATATCAAGTGATAAGGTTAGTTCTTGAATTCTATGGAAAACCTTACGTATATGTGGATGCTATTTGAAATGATACTTTGCATTTTATGTGATGACATAAAAAAGTTGAAGGATTATACATTTATATAATTTATCGTGATGAAATTTATCACAAATAAGAGAACAGAAATAAAATAATAATAACTTTAGGTTGATTTAACAATATTTTCCTAAAGGAAACTTAATTTTATTCATAATAATTTTCTAGTGGTTTATTTTACACTAATATGAACACTTCATACAGAACTTTGAAAATAATGCTTGCCTTTGAAACATCAAAAAATTCCACAAAACAAAAGCAATTATCAATGGTATGAAATGATAGCATTCTATAATTTCCAGGTAGCAACCATATTTACCGGATATTAATTCAAATTCTTCCGGTAACAAATGAACCAATATTATCTATAAATATTTATTCCCCAAAATAAAATGAAATAAGCAAAGTGATAAGTATGACAACATATAAAATTACCCTATGAAATATAAAAGCACCACTAGAACTAATAAGTAACAATCAAAATGCAAACAAATAATCACTGCGAATTTACTATTGCAATCACAAAAATATGCAACATAATCATTCAAATGACAAAAAACTAATGTCATTGATGTGATAAACACAGATGTTTTATCATTTAGAAAAATAAGCATTAAATGAATAAGTATTTTAATCCATTTTGACAACAAAATTATCTTATCCTTATCACATTCATTGCTTCATCACATATAGAACTACTGAAGGATTTTTCATAATTTATTGTTCCATGATTATTATAAAATTTTCAGAAATAAACAGATAAAAATTAGTAGAGTTTATAGAAAAGATATGAATAAATCTCGACACCGAAATTATCCTTTCTACATTTTTCCTTTCAAATTATTCTCAAATGAAAATAATTTGCAAATTTTTGTTGGCAAATAACTGTGTAAATAACTCCGGTTTTATTGTTTTTCATTTAAAAACTACCTAATAAGCATAACTTAAATTCAAAAGACCCATTAAATAGACATATAAAAGTAATGGCTTAAAAAACCATAAAGAAAGCTAAAATTTTTATTGGAAGTGGAATGCAAAGACAGAGATTTTTCAAAAGCATAAAGAATAAAAAGTAACTGGGAAAATTTAACATGAAAAATACAAACAGAGCTATGGATTAAAAATGAAGAAAATAGCTGCAATTATAAAAGAAAGAGGTAGGTGTGAAGAAAAAATTTTTTTTACTCAAAAAGAAACGGCAGATTTAAAAACAAAACCGTTTGGAAAAACTATCCTACATAGCATGTACTTACAGATCAAACATGAAGAAACATTCATATTCGAATGAAAAAATTTATATAGTTTTCAAAAATTCAAATTGACTTTTTCTGCAAGGACGAAGAAAAATTGCTCCGATTTCACTAGGCATAAAAACGAAGTCAAAGTTTTAGCTGCAATGAACATATATATAGATCATAGCTTCCAGTTTAGTAGCTTTATCACAATACCACAGTTATTTGAATAATATACTAAATGAAGGAATTCAGAGACCAAGAACAATTGCTCTCAACTCCCGCAACATTTCCAATATTTCTATAGAAAGTTCAACTCTAAATCTTTATTATATGTTAGCTGATAGCCAGAATACTGATGCTCTTGCAGCTTAATTTATAATTTAAAACGAAAAGTTGAAAGTTTCAAGAATAACTGAAATATGAAAATTATACAGTATCACAAGATGCAAACATTTTTCATCATTTCTAATAAAATTTAGGCATAGATTAATGTAATATGAAATTTAAAATGTTGATGGTTTGAACGGAATCGACTGACAACTCACTTGTATTTTCTGTATTTTCACGAGATTTTGGTCAAGAATTTTCCAATGCCATCGATAAACTGCAAATGTAATATCATTCTACCAATTCATTTAAAGTGTGTGCACCACAATTTCAGAAACCGCTGCAGTTGTTGTAATTGCCCATCTCCACCAACCTATAGCCAAATGTGGTGTCTTTCGTCGTGATTCAATTAATGATCGGAGTTGATTAAGAGTGTCGGAATACTGATAAGAGCCTGTATGTTTTGATTAGAATTATTACAAGTATTTAAATTTCATTAATGTTTTGTGTAGCGCATTTAGCAATGACCTTAATCTTTAAGGATATTCACCACATACTGTCATATGTCCGCAATGTTGTAATCCAATGTACTCCAATGTAAAGCAATATTAGGTAAATTAGAAAATGTACGACCTTGCGAGAGATAAAAATTTTGGGAATAACTAATGTCTAGTTTATTTGAATCTTTAATATCAATAAATTTATTGAAACAAGAAAAATCAAACGATTAACCATGAGCATAATGTGTGGCCACTGATATTTCTAAGACTGGTGTCTTGTTGATGTTCAAATCATTCAAATCGACACGTCTCTGTAAATGAAATTTCATTGTGCTGCTTTACTATTTAATTTTTGTTTAGGGAAATCTCTTGCAGATATATGACTCTTATATTTAATAAATTTTTTCTCATTTACAACCAAGTAATCCTGAAAATCAATCATGCATGAAGTTAGATGATTGATTAATATGAACAAGCAGAATGCATAATGAAGAACTAGCAGATCAAGTGCAAAAATTTTAATGAACTAACCGATTTAAGAATAATCCAGAAATTTCGTTCCTTTGGAGCTTCGGCACCATAAGTAAGAAAAACGAAATAAGTATTGCGCTTACTAAACCCACCAGACCGGAACTTTGTAAATGACCAACTGTCAATTTCAAAATCGTCCATAGGTGTCAGATGTAGTGACATTTTATCGGTGCCACCCGAAACCGTAAAACTTAATCGCAGTTCAGATCCCGACAACAAATGTTTCTCAACATTAATGACTTTGATGGGACTGGCTATCCGTGGGTGACCAGGTAATGGTATCCAACGAGATTCCCTACAAATGAGAAATGTGAAAAAATTTTGTTGATTGTAAACTCAAAAAGTGATAACAACGGATAGCTCAACATACCACTGAACAGAGTGATTTAAATGATTGATTTTTGCTTATTTGATAGTTCTATTGCCATTAATTTCTATCAGTACTTCCCCTATTCCAAAAAATTTCTGTTACATCAAATAGAGAATAAGACAGCGATACAAACAGTTATTTACTTATCTTTGTTCGCAATAAAATAAATAAAAGTATTAAATTAACCCCAAAACTAATTCTTTTCTTTAAATTCAATTTATTTATGTTATGAAAGAAATAATAATCGAATACCGCGGAGGGAACAACTGATGAACAGCTGTATAATATGGAAGACGACAATACTCATCTTTTATACCACTGCAGTTCGGCTCACTGTTTCCTAAAAATTATGCTAAATTAATGACATCAGATTTTTTTTTTTTTTTTTTGAAATATAAAAACTGAACAGAGGATTAATAAAAATTACCGGTCAAAAAAGTGTGTTCCGGCAAATCGGTAATACCACGATAATCTAAGGTTTGTACGAACAATGCATGTTCCTGAATTGATGTATTGCTTTGGAAAGGATAAATTGATCGTTCGCTATCCTGAAATAAGCTTCATAAATACTAATTATGGGATTGGAATTTAAAAAAAGCACTCGAGAATAATATCACTTGAACTCTTTTGTGTAAAATTTTGATTAAAAATTAACTTATACCAATGTAATAAGACGTCTTAGACGAGGGCTTTCTTCAGAGTATTTATAAGGCCAGCCAAGCCTTGTACTAAATAATGCTGTAAAAAAAACGCAATATAACATTAAGCCACACTTTAGGAGATAATCCATGCGACGACTAACATACAACAGATTACTCTGAAATAAAGACTGATTAAAGACATGAGAAGTATAGAATTCTACAATTTTTTAATTTATATGAATAAAAAAAGGTAAGGAAATATCTATTTGAGAGAGTTAGAGAATGATTTCCCAAATTCATAAAAACTAAAATGTAACCAGTAAAAAAATATGTTTGGCCAGAATGTACACACCGTAAAAAGAATAAAACATAGTCCAACAAAGAGACTCATTAGAACAATAATAAATTCAGGATTAATTGCTACACCCATTCGTCCTGTAACTGGGACGAAGAACTCAAAAAGTAGCATTGCTGAATAAGCATCGAATACCATCACAGGAACAGTACACAACAATTGTGTAATTAACAACCATTGTGGAGAGATTTCTGAAAGATAAAGTTCCTAACAAACTTAACCAGATCACTTAAATTACCATTATAGGTTTTCGATTATAATTCAATATGGTCTGTTATATTCATAGCTTTTTCTGTCTGTGAAAGGAAAAGGTAATCAAACTAAAAAAACGATATCGAAAAAAAAAAAAAAAAAAAAAGACTTAGAACCCTTATAAGTTTGTTTCACCCATCAATTTTATAACAACTACATTTGGACAATATCATTTTGAACAAATAATCATTAAGATGGATCAAAAATTACTTGTTATAATTCGCATCTTCCCGAAAAGCCAAAGCAACGGCTCACGAAGTAATAAGAAGAAAGAATTATAAAGTAAAAAGGATGCACCAGCAATACCAGCAAATGTTGCAAGTGCCAGCCATGTTGAAAATAACAATAACACACCATCAAAATGTATCATTTCCTGATTAGGTCTCTGAAAGTTTATTTACTTTTTTATTTACTATCAAAAAATTCTCTGCCTTTCAAAATTTTCTATTTAATCAATTTTAAATCCAAAAGCGGTTGATTTTGGCGCTACTAACATGGGATAGTATTTTAGCAAGTTATCCGATACTTTTAATATAATAGATGTTATGGGATAGTATTTTAGCAAGTTATCCGATACTTTTAATATAATAGATAATATAATAGATTTCAATATAATAGATGTTATATAGAAGCATATTCTATAGCATTAGCTGTCTTTCTTTGGTATTGTGATGATCAAATTAGATTTTGGGAAAAACATATATCATTAAATTGAGATACTCAATAAATAACTCTTTCTTATTACAAATATATCTGTTGGATAATTCACCAAGATTTCAATAATCAATTGTGAGAAACTCCTTCTTCAAGCTAATTTCGCGATTACTAAAAACAACTTCCTTCTCCTCATTTATAATGTTGTTCCTTTCAAAACTACTCTAATCTAACATTAATATCTAGTTGGAAAAAAAAATATATATAGTATTAGCTTCTTTTCTTTGGTAATACAATGATCATATATCCTATATACCCCCATTATTTCTATTGCTTCAAACTGGATCACATTTGATGGACAAAATGTGATAAGAAAATACTTTATGCAGTTGAGCTAAGATCGTATGAGTAGCACAACCAGCGATAAGAAGAGGAAATATATAGAGAGGGAAAGCGAGTTCTGGAAGTGAATACCAGCACATTATCATATCGAGTTTGGTGACAATTAAGGCAACTGATGTGCCTGTTGCTAAAAATAATATTTGTTAACTTATAAAACATCTCAAAGTGTATTTTCTTCCTGATACACCAAAACAAATATTAAAATAAAAAATGTTAAAAATCAGTTTAACAAACTACAATACATTGAGTGAAATGATTTAAGAAATTCAAAACATGAGAAATGAATGCAATATACAAAAGTTCAAATATATATTTGTAGAATGCATATATAAAGCAAAACTTAAAAAAAGTAATTAATTAAAAAGAAAAAATGCGCATACCAAACATGACAGCTGCCGCGACAATATGACCAATAACTGCTTTAATTAAATCCACTAAATTATAAAAACCTTTTTGAATATGATAAGCAATAATGATCAACGCCGCTATTGCAGTCGTATAATTGAGAACTTCTCCAAGATCTATCGGATAAAAAACCGTAAAAATGCCAACAACATCATAAAATACCCAACGGTTACCCTGCTCAAAATCACCTGGTCGATCCAGATAGGGAGATTTGATCAAAGCCTTAAACAACGAATGACAAATTACTTAATATTTAATCAAAGTAGAAATCGGATAACGATAATCAACAAAACAACTGCAATTATCATTTTTTGCCTGTGTACAGGAAACACCGGGAAAATACCTTAGTAACGGCAAGTAGATTCTCTCCTGCTCTTTGAATACATCCTGGAGTTATGAATTTTGGAGTATCAAATTCTGTGTGATAAACCCATCCATTTCGAAAATAAGCAATATCAAGGCCTGAAAACTTATGAATTCATTAGCGATTACTTGATTTGACTCTACTGAAAATAAGAATTAATCTTACCTGAAATACGACCATAATCTCGGAAAACCCGAAAATCTGTATCAGATGGTATAATACCAGCTTGGAAAATCTCCTGCGCTAAAACGCTGCAGTGAGGATGAGGTGCATTTTCTAGATAGGTATGCAAAAGCCAGGAATTTCCGGGTCCAGCCTAGAAAAATACATTTATGTGCAAAGTGTATATAATCATGCAAAGAACTATTTTATAGAACTGAAATGATGCAGTAAACGGAAATGATACCTGAAACAGTATTTCACGGCCACCAGCTCCAGAGCCCTCCAAGTTCACAAATGCTCGAACAGAATGTCGCCATGGATGCTGTGTAATGAAACCATGTGATGCTTGCAAAAAATTTTCTTCAGCTAAAATCAAAATTCAAAAAATACTTCCATTTTGATCAAACAACTAGTAAATAGAAAAAAAAATGTTTACCAATTTCTAATATTATGTATAATTTATAATATATTAAATACGGACTTTAGCACTTAAGTAAAAAGAAGTTGAATTGATAAAAAACTAATACGATGTATACTTGAGTATTTAGAAATGTCACATTGCTACAGACTTCTCCTACAAAATTACCAACGATCCTTATATTTTGTCTCTAAAATATTTATATTGTGGTACTACTGATAATGATGAAACGATCATGTTTTTCACCTCCATTGAAAAGAAAAATTATATCGTTTTCAAGTGATTCTTTTGAATGAGATAAAATATCCATAACCTCCATCATAACTGCACAGCTTACCTAAAATCAATTTTTGAATAAACATAAAATGTCTTCATTTTTCACATAATTTATATCTACAGCTAACATTAAAAAATACAAAAGATAAAGTAAGAAATAATTAGCTAACAATGTCGAACGTAAAGATAATCCCCAAAAAAGAAAAAAAAATCTCAGAGAAAACAATTAATAAAATATGATTTAAAATTCAAAATAATGATAGCAGCGATAATAATATTACAGCATCATCAGTCGCACCAGGTGAACCCGGAAACGTATCGAAATGACAATTCAGTAAAATGGAATGTTTTGGTGGAACTCTTGGTCCAATCCGTGCTAAAATAAAAAATGAAATGTAAGAGATTGCAAATATTCTCTTGAAATTAGGAAAATGTTAAGCAAAATACAAAGACTCACCAATGACATTGGTTATTTTGTGGTAACATAAGGTGAACGAAGATAAGAATCCGAGATCAAAGCATCCAGATGGACGTTGAATATCAATTTCCAAACGGTTCACTCCTCGAACTTCAACTTCTGCTTTTGCATTTTTCAACCTATCATTTATAAGTTTAAATGCATGCACCTGCAATAAGCACATATTTTCATTCCCATCACAAATTTTGGTTTTTATGCTATCGGTTTTTTGATGCCAGTTTTCTATTATTTTCAACTTCTTTTTTTGAACTGAAAGAAAAAAGTCACTTCACAGTTTTCCGAACCACTGGTACGTGGCCCAAGGTCCGTAAGTGAATTCAGCAACAATCGTGCTCTTTCTTCTGAGAATTCATCAAACTGTCCTGCTGGCTTAACTTCGGGCATTCGATTGTCCTGGTAAACGACAAATCCGTAGATCCCACTAACAATCATCAGAATCAGCAACCAATGTCGGAAACCCAGATATTGCGACTTCTACAATTATTTGTTTACAAGGTACACATCATAAAGATTTGTACCGGAAAAAAAGAGAGATCCGAAAAGATCCGAAAAAAGTAACTGCTAGTCCGTTATATATTTTTAATCTCCTGAGAAATGGCTATAAATGACGCTATTTAAATTAGAATCAGATAAATATATTATAGTAAGAAAATGATAACCGATTTTAAGTGTAATTTTACGGTAGCAGATTAATTCTAATTTAAAATTCATGGATATTAAATAATCGCATCCTATGCTTGTATGCCTAACATTTCCACCATGAAGTGATGCCGAAGATTTAACTGATGATATTTTTCATATGATAGCTTCATCTATTCTACCAAAATATCAAAAAAAGTCCCAAGAGAAATGAAACCAACAAAAAATGAAACCTTATCAATAAACCAATCGGATTTAACATTTTTCAGCATATTCCTTCTAGTCGTACCTTTAGCACTGTCTACATCTCGTGATATATTCCGTTGGCGTAATTCCATTCTTCTAATCCGATTCCTTAATTCATAATCGTAATCGTGTGTAAATTAGTCCACAAGAAATGGGAAATCTAACAATTTAAACTGATCGTATAGTAGTTACTAATTCATATTTTATAAGATAAACAGGAAGGATAAATAAGGAAAACCAAAAAAAAAAAAAAAAATTAAGAATTAACCACAGTGAAGATGTGTAAAGATAATGTAAATAGCAAAAGAAAGCAAAATGCGAGCAATAAAATAAATGATATAATGACGATAAGATAAGAGCAACATTATGACTACAAAAAAAAAGAAAAAAAAAAGCAGTGTAAAGTAGGCAAGAATTACTGCTCAATGCAATATCAACTGATATTTTAAACTGTACCGTATAAAATGAACAATGGAGTTACTATAAACTTTCTATTCAGATACTGTAAATATTACCAACGATACTGTATATAAGAGACACTGTACACTAAACAAACAAAAAAAAAGCGAATAATTAAAAATTGTTTAAATGCAGGAATGGAACTGGTAATAATTATTGTGCTAAGCATAATGATCTAATCAATTGTGCAGAAAAAATGTAAGAAAGTTTTGCAGTTTGAACTAAAGATCTCTTCCTAATACAGAAATGGAATTTAGCAGAAAATTAGACACCTAAAATTACGGTACTATTTTAGTTGAAGAAATAGTTAAAGAAAAAAAGAGCTCCAGAACTTTTCCATTTTTTAACGTTTCTCGTATGGGCCGTAATATTATAAAAGATGCCGCCAGATATATTCTTCGAAAATTTTAAGTTGACGAGGTTTGAGATTTAAATTATGAAGTTGTTGATATTGTGTTGTGGATGTGTTGCGTGACGGTACTTCAGTTATAGCTTGCGGACGTGTCACACGTGATCGTACTAAGCTAAACCAAAGTATCAGTGTGAAATTGCATTGAATCGAGGAAGAAAAAAATTGATTATGCTGGCAGTGATACCATCATATATTACAGAATAAAAAAGGGAAAGAATTAAGATAATAGCCGAGCAATTATAATAATTTTGTCAGTAGTTGCATATAAACTAAAACACCTCGTAAACTTCAAAATATGAAGTTAAAATTTTGAAAATTTTTCCTTGTAATTTCAACATTTCAAGTAATTATAATCATTATATAGTATTGAAATAATGTTTTTATTATAAATTTAATTATTGAACTGGTATTTTGCTAGCTGTTTGTAATAATTATTTCTAAGAAAGAGAGGATTTAATTTAAAAAAAAAAGAAAATTATTTGGATGGTGCTAAGTAATGATTCTCGATACTGATAAAAATATTGAGAGTAATTTCTTTTAGTTCCGTTATTGATAGGAGTAATTTGTGTAGTTCTGATATTGATAAAAATGACCTCTTAATCTGATTTAGATCTGAATGATTTATTTAGCGTAATTTTACCATATGTTCAGGGAAAATTAGTGTTCCCAATGCTATTCGTTTCCACATATTCACGTTATATTGGAATACTGGTCTAATCTAAGAATAGATGATTTAAAAAAAAAAGTTTATGGAGATTTTGTTTTTTTGTTTTACAGCGGGATTTATTGCTATTGCGGTTCATTGTTGCGATCTTCCATTGATTTGATTGGTTTAGTTTCGTTTCATCTCGTTTATGGTGATTTTTATTGATATCAACTAATTTTATATTTGACTGTGGCGATCATCAGTTCTATATTTTTTATTTAGTTATTTTGAATTTTTTTTTCAAAGGTAACAAAATGGTTCGAAAACGTTTTATGTCTAAAGGAAATGCAACGTTTGTTGATGGGCTGGATAAAACCATCTTGAAACAAGTAAGCGTTGTTTAATAGTGTGATTTTGACTAACAATTTAGTTGAAGATTGAGATGGTATTAAGAAATAGCTTAACTAGTACTTACGGATTAAAAATACTTTTATCAGTATCATCCGGGATTAATTTGTAACTAATAAAGATCTAGAGATATTTTAGTGCCCATATTTATTAATTCAAAATTTTTAGACTTGGTTAATTTCCCAATTAGTTTATAATATCGAATAGAAATGAAATGAATTTTTATTTACATTTTTATGATGACTTTTATTTACATTTTCATTGACCAGTTAACGAGTACTGAATAATATATTCCGTGGATATATTGTCATATCATAAGATTAGTTTTGATTTCTTATTCATTACGCTGTCATCGAATGTGCGGTAATTTTTTTACAGTGTGCTAAAGCACATCCTTTATTTCGACGTACAGCTATACTCAGTAGTGTACTGAATGATGTATTGGATCAAGAACGGGATTTTTTGCAACCTTGCTCACGCAAAATGAAAAAAAAGGAAAGACATCGTCGTGCTAAGCCCATTGATCGAACAAATATTAGTGCAGAAGACCTCGAATATCAACGTCTGCTCAATGAAGTTTGTATCGTAATTTTGTGATACCTAGCCAAATAAATGTGGTATTAATCATTTGGAAAGCGTCAGAATGACGATCGAATTGTCATCTTTTGTTAGTACTGTTTCATCCGAAAAAAAGTTATAAAAGGATTTTAGGTCAGAAATTAAGTACATTTGGTATAATACTCTTGCAGTTTTTTGTTGAAACATATGACGGAGATAGTGGAAGACATGGACATGAATAAGGCTAAAAGTATGAAGTCCTAAAGAGATTTGGTCATTTCATATTTTCAGCTCTATTCATGTGACCAGGGATGTATCATTTTATTGAGTAGGTCGCAGGTAATAAATGATTGAAAAAATTTTGCAGATTAAAGAGGCTGAAGAATATGAACTCATCGTTGAGCGTGATAATAGCAAACTAAGCAGAGATCGTAAGTGATATGGAATGTTCGGTTTTAATAATTTGGTTACCTGATATCATCATTTTCAATTACATAATAAATACGCTAGAACCTAAAGGCTTATTTCCTAAAAAATTTTGTTTTTGATAAACATCTCTTTAATATCTTTTTATTTCCTTCGTGCAAAACATAATTCAGTTCATGGTGAAGTATTTTTCCAACATATAATTTTAAATGAATTGTTCATGATAAACGTAATCTTTTTAGATTGTTTTATTTTAGGTATCAACTTGTCAGAGATAACCAAATTTGCAGCGAACAAATTTTCTGGTAATTACTCCAAGCCTTCAGGTAGCATATCAAGTTGCCAGTGTTTTATAATTTTTATATGAGTTCCAGAAATTTTCATTTCTCTTTCTATTTACTTCATTAAATTTATCTTCTATTATGTGCGCACTAAGCTAAGATCTGTGCTTCATTAATTTTCACGTTTGAACATTTAGCTTACAGGTGATTCAAAATAAAATGAGTAAATAAATAATAAAGGAGAATTAGGAAAAAGTAATGAGATTGATGAGAAACTGAAAACAGTAAAAACTGAATAAAATTAACTATGTTTCATTGTTAATATTCCTGGCCAATTGTTTTATTTGATAATTTTTCTATGAAAAAATGGAGCTATTTGCAGAATTTGAGAAAACTTGCAGCAAACTGGTAGAAGAAAATGATGTGACCAAGGAGAATTCTGACAAGCGAAAGCATTCTGTTGGTTTATCTCTGAATAAAAATGAAGACATAAATCACGTTGAAGTTACAGGATCACCTTTGATCTTCATTGTTCATCCATCTGAGCCAACTACGTCAACTCCTCTTCACGTATGTTTTTTAGTTCATTCAGATGGAAACTTATTTCATTTTAAAAATTTGAATGATACAATTTTTCAGTTATTTAGGTCTTCCAATCTACACATACACCGCATCCTCATCAAGACATACCTAATTTTGACAGAGATATACAATTGAGTCCAATACTTCTTGACAGAGAAGATACTGGCTGTGATGTTATTGAAAAGGAAGCACCAGCAGCCTGCGTACAGTAAATCGATTTCTTATGCTTTTTTTTTTTTTTTTTTTTTTTTTTTTTTTCATTTTCATAATGTTTCCTTTTTCTCATAACATATCATGGTTAAAGATCTGTCAAAATTTAGTTCTGATGGAAATGAAGTAGAAGGAAAATCAGGTGCAGAAACTAATGATCGTAATCGGCTTGGCAGTGTAACAGGGATTTCAACAACGCTTCAGAAGTCGTCCCCTCAGCTTACGATTCTTAACTCACCTGGTCGCTGGGGATTTCAAAATGAAGTAAATATTATCACTTTCATACTTAGCTTTTGCTTCAAATTAAGCAGGCAATAAAATAAGCATCTCTCCTTATTAATATAAAATATCATGATTAGGTTAAAAATCGGATAATAATCTTTTAACGGGATTAAAATGAATTATCAAACATTTCTGTTGAGCGTCTGAGATTACTACATTTAAATCCTTTCAGGAATACGTGTGTGAAGATGTTACGTCATCTGTTCGAGGTAATTTCCCCGTAACAACTTTAATATCAAATCAGCAGTGATTTTCTGTATTTTTTTTGAAATAGATTAGAAGAGAAATTTGGAGAAAAGTGTGATCTGTTTAGATGTAAGAATCAGAAGGACCCTGGACGTAATAGGGTCTAAAAAAAATTTTTATTTGGAACTCATGCATTCAGCAGGTTAAAACAAAATATTGTCCTTTTAATAATTCTCAATAGCGAAGAAATTAGCCACTCGTTGCATTATTATGGTATCATTCATATCGAAGATTTGCAATTTTTTGCAAATTCATGGTTTTTCTGGAAAAAAATAATTTGCAAATTTTTAGGTGATAGGAGCTTGTCGCTATGTGATGGAAATGGGGTATATTTTCTACTTTTACTCAATTTATTCATTTCTCGTATTACTTCATTTATTGAGAAATTGCAGTTATGAAACCCGGAAACTGGAATGAATCTTAATTTTTTTATCCAAAATGAAGGAATTTTTTTTTTACACATCGAAGGGAATAAATGCACAACTCATTTTTTGAAGGAAAATAGACCATTCTATTTAAATGGCTTTCCGTGGACAACTCAGTATGCTAGAAGACGTGACTACAAGCAAGAACTTTTCCATCTTTGCATGCAAAAAAGTATTCAGTCTTGGCGACTTAAAAAAACAGTACTGTAAGTGTAATATTTCTGTTAGTATAATTGTTGAGGATGTCATTGGTGACTATCATATTGTTATGTTCAATTACTACTCTAAAATTAATTTTAGTGATTTATCGAGTCCGGTAAAGCTTGGAGAAGGAACATTCGGCGAAGTGTTTCGAGTCAGTTACAAAGGGGAACTCGTTGCGTTAAAGGTATGGTTTGAGATTATTTGTCAAGCTATTCATTTCTTTTCTTTCATATTCTTTTGATTGTCCTGATGTTTATGTTTAGGTGATCCCAGTTGGTGGTACCAAAATGATTAATGGAGACAAGCAGAAGTCATTTCGCGACATTAGCGCAGAGCTAATAGTTTCAAAAGAATTATCAGACTTAAAATACATCGAGGAAGGGTATTCCACTCAGGGCTTCATTCATCTTAGAGGAGCTATGGTAGTAAAAGGTGTCTTAAAACTATAATAAATACTGATGTATATAGTATATTTTATAATTAAGCAATCGCCTTTATTTATTCTTTGAATACAACTTTCCAGGGTCCTACCCAAGATCTTTAATTAATGCATGGCAGCAATACGATGAACGCATGAAGTCCGAAAATGATCATCCGTGCATTTTTAGCTCTAATCAACATTTTTTACTTCTAGCTTTTGAAGATGGTGGAATTGACTTGGAAAAATATATGGTATTTATTTCTAACTTGATTTTTTCAATAAAAATGTACTCTGAATAACGTACCGCTGCGCAGCAGTGGTAAGAATTAGAGGAGAATAGTATATAATATTGTCTTTTTTTAATAGATAGTATGTCCAAACATTTTTAATTTCTCAACAAAAAAACATTTGTTGTAGAAATTATTAATCTAAAAGATCATAAATGAAAAAAAAAAAAGTTACAATAAGACTGATTTTGCAGATTTCTAATGTTTTGCAAGCGTACAGCATTATTTACCAAGTCCTTTTGACACTTTCTGTAGCAGAATATCGACTTTCGTTTGAACATCGTGATCTGCATTGTGGTAATATTCTCATCCGAAGTGTTCAGTCTGATAATGCTGTTAAGTATGTTTTCATATTAATCATGAAATATTTTGTCTAAATTCATGTTACATTTTAATTTGAATTTTTTGCAAAAAAAAAAGACGAAAAAAAGTGATATTTTCAGAGCAAATTATAATGGTTATGAAGTTAGCATTCCTACACATGGTGTTGAAGTGAAAATTATCGACTTTACTCTGTCCAGAATGTCTAAAGGTTTTTTTTTTTTTTTTTAAAAAAAAAAAAGACGATAAAATCTATAACATGAATTTTTATGTTTCAGATTTTAAGGGGATTTTCTAAGGATCACAAATGCACTGATCTGAACTTCTTATTGAATTTCTCAGACTCTTTTTAAATCTCAATTCTGAAGGCGAATTGTTGATCTAGAAAGTGGATGAATTCCAGGAACGTCAACGATTTTTTTTGATTTGGCAAAAGATGATGAATTATTCACAGGCGAGGACTGTTTACAATATGAGATCTATCGAGCGATGCGTGCGGTAAACAAGTAGGAAATTTTCTTTTTGAATCTCTTTAACCCGCGGTACTATAAGAAACGTTGGGTTTTGAATATTCTTTATACCTTCTTAAAATATTAGTTAGTTTTTTGAATATTGGTCTACTTTTCTTATCAAATCTTCCCAAACTCTAACTCCGAAGGTACTTTATATATTTATTAAATACTTGAAGAGCTTAAAGAAGCCGTGGCAAGCTTATTTGTTATTTCAAAATTATTAAATAGGAACAATTGGTTTCCGTTCTGTTCTATCACAAATGTGATGTGGTTGATATATCTCGTGCGTTATTTATACGACAATATGGATGAAAAGAATATTGGCAGCCGAAGTGAAAGGAAAAATTTCATTTGTCATTTCAAAGATTTGCATCGCTATGGTAAGTGAATTTATGCAAATGTAAACTATTGTTTATGCGCGAAATTATAAGTAAGGAATAAAGTGCCAAGAATTCAGAGCCATTTCTGATCACCTAAAACCAATACTTTGTCATTGGATCATTCCTTGAAATGCTGATTTATGTAGTACATTTGTCAGTATTTTGAATCATCTGAAATGGCTAGCTTCTCATTTTTCGAATCATCCAATATTAACTGAACATCAGTTTGTTTCAATTTGAATCATTATAGCCAGCTTGTCTGAATGGTTAGCAGAAAAAGCAGGTAGCACGAATGATTTCATAGTAATCGTCGATGCAAATCATCAAGCTGCGGAAATTTAAAATGATTGTGATTAATGCTTCTTTTGTTTATATTTTAATTAATATTAATTGTCAATAATTCAATACAGCAAAAATAATCGAGGTTATGACCTTGTTATGCCCACGTATAATAAAGTACCTGAAAATTTTTTTCGTAGATCTCAATGCATTCATTATTGTCTTTCATATTCTCTGTTTTACTTATATCGCTTTATTTCATTTTTATAATGTGTATACATTATATAATGGGTATTCACTTTTTTTATAATATATGAAGTTGGCGTGAAAATCAGTTCTTTTCAGCATGAATCAATGTGGAAGTTTTCTTCAGTGATTTATCTCCAAACTAATGTTGATTTGTAGTAAGCAGCAAGAAAATAGATGGTTGAATTAATTTCTCTCTCTTTAATTCATTTATGTGGGGCATTTTGCATTATGATTTCTTCATTGTGATTATTCCAGTGAAATTTTACATCCGAAATAAATTTGACGAAATACCGTGATGTTTGCAAATGAAATTCTGATGAATAAATGATTTCTATATTACTTTTTTAAATAATTAAAATCGTAATTCATTATAATCATTTTCAAAATGGCATTAAGTATGTATTAGGAAATACAAATTAGTCAACTGAAAGAAAGTTGAAATCACTGTTTTCCGGAACATATAAAAGTTTTAAGGAAGATTCCTAAAAATGAATAGATCCAGAAATTATAATTGAGCAGTGAATATTGGTGATGATGTCATTTAGTAGTTTATTATTGATAAGTGTAATTGTCCTTTGATTGAGCTTTACTGTAAACGCATTAACAATAAAAAAGGATAATTTTGGGTTACATCTGTATGCCATGATGGGATTAAACTTGTGATTTTATTAAAATAATGGGATTCAACTTTTGATTTTATTAAAATATCAAAGATTAGGTATGGAAAAATTGTGCATTATTTCAGCAGAAGAAAGAGTACTGTTTAATTATCATTCATTATGTGAAATTTAAAAAGTTTTGACGTTAAATTTAAAAATTGACTGCAACGAGAAGATTTGACATAGGTAATAACATATGATATAAGATATTCATATCAATGATATTAGAAATGAAATGATGTTGAAAATTTATTGAAAAATATAAATGAATGAAAGATAAACAATTGTATGAATGTGCTGTATTAAAAGAAATGCTAAAAGAATTTTAAATTTAATAAAAAATGTTCAACAATATCTCTCTTTTTTTAAATAAAAATCCAAAAAATTCAGCAATATTCTTTTTTTTTTAAAAAAAAAAAAGTAAAAAAGGTTTTTTTTTAATAAAGCACTTTGAATGAAAGAAATTTGAGAAATTTCACTTCAAGCGATTACTAGCATTTCACATTATTGGATTCCGTAATAATCGCATGGAAACTTCGAATCTAAAATTTAAATACAACTATATTTGATTAGCGGAAATAAAAGTTATGAAAGTAATGGAATATTTTTAAAATTTAAATCAATATCAAATTATGTCAAATAAAATTAGAGTAAAGAAATTTTGAGGCAAACTTTTGATTTATTATTTTTATTTCTCTATTATATGTCAATTATTTGTTAATTTATTTAGTACCAATTCATAATTGGTAATTATTTTAGCTTTCACAGAAGAAAATTGTGAAAGGTATATGTATTAGTGCAGTTTAATTTATGAAAGAGCAGCGAAAATTGAAAAAAAAATTACATTTCAAAAAACACAAAGATTTTATTGAAATTATTGAAATGAAATAGATTTACTTTAAATCATTGGGTAATATATAGTCGCAAACTGATATATCAAATACTTTTTGATATAACAAAGTAATAATAGCAAGATCTTTTAACTTCCAATCTATAAAATCACTTTTTAATTAATTTCTTTTTTTTTTAATTTTAATTAATTTTTTTCTCTGCAATATACATTTTTATTATCCTTCTTTTATTGACTGATTATTCTTGCAATAATTTTATAAATTTTAAAAGCTTGCGAAAAAGAAACGCATATGTTTTTTTTTTTCTTTTAATTTGTTGTTATATTTTCTTAAATGATAATAAATTGATAACAGATTAGAAAACTTACCATAATCAAGAACATTAAGATCAGATATTCTAACAAATGAATTGGGTAAATTATTGTATGAACTAAAATTATATTTTCATATCTAAAGAAAAATAAAAAACAAAAAACAGAATTTATACTTTCATTAAACTTATTTGCATTTATAAATATTTAACTAATATGCAAATTTCATTTATTTTTTTCAAATCTTTCAACATTAGCATAGTAATTTTTCATTTTACAAACAAAAAAAGGTTTAAATTTTTTTTTATATTAAAATTTTACTAAAACATACGCTAAGCCACCAAATATGAAGACACGATTACCAATAACAGCAACCTGTTGTTCCTGTCGATTACATGGACCAACCAAACCACCTGGTTTTAATCGACGCCACACCGATGTTTTTGGATCAAATTCATGAATTGTACCAAAATGATAACTTTCATCTTGCAAACAACCACCAAATATATACATCTTATCACGATAGACCCCTAAATACTTATCATTCATATCAACAAATCATTATTTCCTTTAACTTATCATTGAGTAATTCATTTCATTTTCATTTTAGAAAAAACATTTATATTCTCAAATTAACAAAACACCATATATAAAAAATAAATTTATCAAAAATTTAGACTTGACATACGTACTTATATAAATTAAGTTATTGAAAAAAAAAAAAAAAAAACAAGATATAATTTAAAAAGTTCTTAAATCAATATTAGTTCTTGAAAAAGAAAAAAAAAAAGTGCGCCTTTATTTAATACATAAAATTCATTTTATGCAATCATCACTTTTTCTTTTTCAAAAAAAAGCAAAAGAGAAAAGCGGAAAAAGCACTTACAAGCAGAATGATTTTTCCGCCCACATGGTATGACACCTGTGACATTTTGTTGCTCCCAATGACGTGTCTCCAAATTTAAAAAGCTTATTTGTAATTCATACATTGGCACACCAACCCCACCAAATATATACATTTTATTGCCAATTACACAAGCTGTATGAAATTCCCGTACCTCTGGCAATTTACCCTAAATTATAAATAAAATTTCAATTTTGCGCATAATTAATTTTGTTAAAAATTCCAACAATCATTTAAAAAAGAAAATGGAATGGATGATGAATGAAAAATAAGACGAATATTTGTAAATATAACACAAAGAAATAAATCCCAGAAAAAAAGAGAGAAAAAGTTAATTTTATTTATTAGTAATTATAATTAAAAAATGGAATAATTTGAGAAAACAAAATAATTCAAATAAATTATAACACTTACCGTTACACTCCATTTAGTCCATTTTTGACTTTTGAAATTAAATACATCAATATGATCTGGTGTACTAAAAAAAATTTTCAAATTCTTTAAATATTTGTTTTAATATTTTTTGTTCCCTAAATTGTTGAACTTAAATTTTATCAAAACAAAAAAATAAAAAGTTATTCCTCGCACTATTAATTTGTTTTTTTTGTAAAATTATTCAAAAAATAATTTGTAAAACAACTAATTCATATATTTTATTCATAAGTAAAATGTATTAATTTTATTTGTGATGAAAAGAAAAAAACGATTAATCGATGTTAAAATTTCGTTTGATAATACTAAAAAATAAGAAAATCAAAAAAATAAATAAATAAATAAAAAATCCTTGGAAATAATTTTTTTTTCAAATTTTACGAAAAATTTTGATCGATTCCACCAAATATAATCATCATATCATTGTACACAACTGCGGTATGTCCAAAACGTGATGGTGGTGGAGCGTTAGTACATGGAACGATTGTCCAAATATGTCTTTCTAAAAAAAATAAAGAAATTTTAAATAAAGAAAAAAAGACACAATCATTAAATTTTTTTTAATTAAAATAAAAAATAATTTAGAAATATTTAGAAAAATTTCTTCTCTTTTATTCTTATCTAATTATTAGTTAAATAATTCTAATAAATTTTTATATTTTTATTTATTAATATATTTATTTATTTTTTATTTATTTATTATTTATTTTGTTTATTAAATTTATTTATTTTATTTATTATTTATTAAGATTTTTTATTTATGGTTTATATTTATTAAATTAAAATTTCATATAAGATATTACTGAAATACCTGTATCATAGCAAAATATTTGATGAGTTGTTCTACTTGAAACCTGAAATCCACCCCACAAAAAAATTTTCCTTTCATATGCTACAACAGTATGGCCAATTGATCGACTTGGTATTTCGCCGAATGATACCAATGGATCATTTGGCTCAAGTGATAATGGTAATGGATAATATGTTCGATTGTAATATTTTCTTGGAAGATAAATACCATTACGATATGGTACAGATATTTGATGCCAACGATAATGATCTCAAAAATAATAAATCGTTTCAAAAAGTAAAAAGAAAAAATAATATTTAAAATTATTATCTTTCTTTTTTAAATATTTAATTATGTAATATCAAAATGATTTTATTTGTAATATAACATATTCGTGTAAATTATTGTAATATTTGTCGAATTCGATGAGAAATAATTTACTTTCCAATTAGATAAGACGTGATAAATTTTTGACTTCACGTTGATGCATTCATTGGATTTAATTGAAAATAATTTACGTATTAAATTAGATGAAACATATAAAATTTTTATTTGACATTGACGATACATATTCATTCATTTCATTAAATAAAATTAATATACTGTAGAAAGAAAAAAATAAATTGAAGTGTTTGGTTCTTATTTACTATTTAAAAATATTTCATTATTTACGATAAATGGTGCAATTTCAGTAAAAAAAAAGAAATTAAAAGATTGTTAACAATAAAATTTTATCAATTTTTAAATTTTTGTTTTTTTTTAAAGTGAAAACTTTGAGAGAAAAAAAGACCGAATATTAAAATAAACAAACCAGTATTAAGAATACTTATACCAAATAATTTAGCATTTGGATCACAATTTTCAGGTGGCAAATATTCGCCAACAGAATAAATCTTTTTGCCAATTGCTACCGCACATTGATTAGAGACAGTTGGGCCACCTTCAACAAAAATTGTCCAACATACCATGATGAGATCCTATCTAAATGTTAGTAAAGACGTCAAATTTATTCTCTAAATTATTCGTATAATTAAATATAAATTCCTAAATAGTAATTTTTAAATGTAAAGTCAAAAAATATTAAATGTAAAAGTAAAAATATGACGAATTAATGAATAATTGAAAAAATTTACAAATTAAAACTTTAAGAAATTATAAAAGTAAACCAACAATTTTTTTAGGTAAAATTTTCGTTTTTCACTTTTTATCTTTTTTTTTCTTACTTTGATGTTTTTTCCAAGTTTTTTGGTTACCGTATAATATTTTGTGCTATGTTGGCTAATTATGCTAATTAATAAAATTATTTAAGCAAAATAAAATTGAAATGAAATTATTGTTTTTAAAATTTATCAATTAAAATATGTATGTATCAGAATTATATGTCAAATTTTCATCAAAGAATGGAAAAAGAAAAAATTTTGTTATATTATTGAAAAAAAATTTTTTAAATTGAAATAAATTTAGTGGAAAATTTATTGTTACTTTAATTGGTAATGCAATTTGTAAATAAAAATTTACAGAAAAGAAAGAGGAAGCACAAAAGAAAAATCATTGATAATCAAATGAACTATGATAGCATATCAGTTTATTCAAATTTTCCCGGTAATAGATCAGTATTAGAAATCTTGTAATCAACAATCGTTCTGCAATATTTCAATTTTTTTCCGGGATTTTTTTAAAAAAAGTTTGGTAGTATTGGCACAATTTTAATATAAATAATTTTAAATAAAAAATTATTGTTTTTTTTTTTTTTTTTTTTTTTTTTATAAATAATCGACTACATAAAGATAGATAAAATAAATAGTAGCAGTTATAGTACATTGTAGATTTAATTTTTTGATTTAACTTAGATTTAAAATTTAGAGGATCAATTGAAAAAATCCAAAATAGTTATTTTACAGATAAATTAAATCAAAATTATTATAGTTTTATGGTTAATATTATACATTGATCTCATATTTTTCAAACGGAATTTATCATAAAACAATAATTAGTTTAAAGATTAATTAACTGAAGCTAAATAATAATAAACTTAGTAAGTATAAAGATATGAAAAATTAATCAGAAATGGAATATTATTTTCCTTTTTCCTTACTGTAAAAATTAAATAATAATTTATATGTGAAATGATTGAAGAAGGAATAAATTTCATAAAATATTGCATACTTTTTTATTTCTTTTCTTTTTTCTTTTTCTAATCATTTATGATAAAAAAATAGTTTTTTTTTTTTTTCTTTCATATCCATCCATACCTTTTGCCATTCTAAAATATTTCATTATTACAAATTTGAAAAATTAAATTTGCATCATTAATTTCATACATATAACTAATTATTATAAAATTTATGGATAAAATGAAATTACATTATATGAAATGCTAAATTTTATTAAACTTTGGCATTTTTTTTCTTTTTTTCTTTGCATATTGGTATAATTATGTAGATATGTTAATTTTAGTCTAATAATTATAACTGATCTCTTCCCGGTACTTTTATATTGAATAATTTGTCACATATCATTGCATATACATTTTGATTTATTACCATTTTCATATTATTTCTCGTCATTTTTTAGGAGACAGTTATTTTGCTGAATTATTTGCATCATTTTTTACTAATTTTTTGATTATATATTCAAAAAAAAGAAGAAGGTATTAGTAAATTATTTTTATTTTTCTTCAAATTTTTCATTTTAATTTGCCTTTTTTTTAAAATTAATTTATGGATTCTTGAAAAATTGTTCTAAATGAAAAAAGTATTATTCAAATTTGATTGCTAGAAAATTCAATATAATTGTTTTTAGCAATTTAATATCCCAAACAATATGCAAAATTCGAACAATTTTATATCATAAAAACATTTTAGCAGAATGAAAAATTGCATGCATATTATCATTTCAAAAAGAAAAAAATAAATAAATTTATTTGTTTAAAAAATTCTTTTTTCGTACTAATTATGCTATTATTGTAAGCATGTTTAATTGTTTGACAAAATATTATTGTTTAATCTTAATTTTTAAAATGGACAAATGTAATATTAGAATTTTTACAAAGTTCATTTTTTAAATGCAAATAATATTGATAAGCAAATTTATTTTGATTGAATTCAGAAAAAATCGTAGAACAGAAACTTTTGAGTTTTGAATTGTTACTTTGCATAACTTTAATTTAATTAGTATTACTGCTATTTTTTGTTAAACATAGCATAATTAAAATGAAACTTTTTTGATGATATAATTATTAAATAATTATGTAATGTAGTTTTATTTAAAATTATTATCATATTATTATGTAATACAGTTCTGCTAAACTTAATTTGTTTTTTAATGTCTTAATTATAAAAAGTTTAATTCAATTATTTTAAATTTTTTTGTTTTTTTTTTCTGTTGCATAAATGTTTATGCGTGTAATTTCTCAAAATTTTAATTGTTTGTTATCAAATATTTTATGAATTTATTTTAAGTAAAAAAAAAATTTAGAAAATTTCTGCACGTCAAATCAATGGCATATTGGACAGTTTCATTAAACGGTGGTCCAAAACGAGCTAATCAAGCTGCCGCTGCATTAGGCTGTAGGATTTACTCATTTGGAGAATTTGATTATGCCGATGAGTCATCTCGTAGTCCGGTATTTGGTATACATGTTCTGAATACCGGTATGTCCGGTTTTCCTGATTATTTCTAATCGCACACATATAATTAAACAATCTTTTTCATGTTTATTTAAACTTTTGAACTAACATTAATACATTAATTCTATTATTAAAGTTTATTTTTAAAATGAAATGATTTTTTTTTTTTGCTCTGACACAAGTAACATTTTAAAATACATACGTTCAAACGTAACTCAATTATGTAATTTTGTTTATATAGAAGTTCTATTTCAAGATTTTGCAGAAGTTTAAATTTTGTACTTTAAAAATTTCAAATTATATTACTTCAAGTTTTTCTACTCATAACTATGTTTTCATTTGTTTGTATTATGAATTTGATTGTTTATATTTATTACTCTTACGTAACGAATAGATAGTAATCGATTAATTTCACATTAAATTTATTGAAATAGCATATTTCAGACATATTAATATATCAGAAACTTCATTCTATGTTATATGCCTAACTTTTTTTTTTAAAAAAAATTCAAAACAAAAATAAAACTTAAAAAAATAAATGCCTGTAAGCATTAAGATTACAAAACACAAAAATTTTCTTATTCTTCTTATATGCAGTTGAACAATGATTTCAATTTTCTCATAAATTTAATTGTCATTTGTAGATTCTAAAACACTACACAATTTTTAGCACTAAAAAAAATTACTTAAATAGTAAAAATTTTTTAAAAAAAATGATAAAATAATAAAAAATTAATGACAATAATAAGAAAAACCACTCAATATTATTAAAATTCCAAAAATAAAATGATATGAAGCAAAAAAAATTTTAATTTAATTATATTAAATTTCTTCATTTTTAATTTCAGAATCCTATCGTTGGCATCAATTATTAGCAACATCAAGGAATTGTTTATATTTGCCATTGGAACGTTATGCAGAAGTACATCGGAATCAAGCTGCAAGAAATGCTGATAACAATGATAATGATAATGATAGTGATGGTGATATTGCCAATGATAATGATAGTGGTAACGATGGTGCCAGAGATAATGCTAATGATAATAATAATGGTGGTGACAGAGATAATGGTAATGATAGTGACAGTGGCAATGATAATAATAACGGTAGTGACAGTGATAATGATAACGATATTGACATTGATAACGATAATGATAATGATGATACGCATGAGAATTTGGTGGCTTATAATGAAACACCACATTATCGAATTAATCATACTGTTGTAATGTACAATAGAAAATTTTATATGTGGGGTGGATGCACCGAAGGTTTAATTTGTTGTACAAAAATGTTTTGTTTTGATCCAGGTATATTTCCTTTTTTCTTTTTTTATAAATTATTTTTTCAAAAAAAAAAAAGTAATTGCCAATATTAATTAGAATTTTGTTTATTTAAAAGGTAATTGAAATTAAAAAACAAAAAAGGGGACAACAATGGATGTTATTATTTTTATAATTGAATTAATTTGGCATTTTTTTTTTCTTTTTGTTTATGTTGTTTGATTTTTTTTTTTGTGTTAACGATTAGTTTTATTAAAAGTAAAGTTGAATAAATAATTTTTTCTTTTCTTTTTTGTGTTTTTAAAATTAATTTAAATAACTTTTTTGTTTTCTTTATGCTTTCGTTTTTTTTTTTTTTTTTTTTTTTTCTTTGGGCAGAATATTTTATCAATTTGAGAGAATTTGTTTTAAAAACTTTTTAGAAGAAGAAATTTGGTCGGTAATTCCATGCATTGGTCAAGTACCAATTGGTCGTACAAGACATACAGCAGTTGTCTTTAATGATATGATGATCGTTTATGGCGGACGTGAAAATAATTTAACAAAGTATATCGTTTTATTCATTTATTTATTTTGTTTTTAATTATATTTAATTTAATATTTTTTTCTATAACTGAAAAAGATATAAGTGCAAGAGTAGTTTTTGTTGAATTTCGTTTTAATTAAATTAATAAAGAAATAAAATTTTTTTTTTAAAAAAATTCAGTAAATTATTAATAATACTATTTTCTAAATACCATATGAGAAATAATTGATCGTTTTGGTTTTGTTTTGCTCAAAAATTTTGCTTTCCAAATGTTTATTAATTATAACAAATTATTTTGATAAAATAATTATTGAGGAAATTAATTTTAATTTAAAACAAATTTGTGTTGAATTTTTTCCATGTAATTTTATTTTCTGTATGAAATAATTGATGGAACAAGCTGAAAAAAGTCCATAAATTATAAACGAATAATGAAAAAAGAATTGGAAGAATGAAAAAATGAAAAAAAAAAAACTTTTTCAGTTTTCCGGAAACTGTTTTTGCGTATAATTTTACACAAAATAGATGGT